ATGTACAGATCACCGACCCCGACAGCCTCCACCGATCCACCGCGCGCCTCACTGGGATTCTCTCGCTGTGAAGCTCAAGGAAACCAGCTCAGCGCACGGCGGAGCGGCGTAGCGAGGCCAAGCTCGTCGTGGGTAGCTAAGACATCTGCGCGGCCCTCCCAAGGGAGAGACGAGGGACTGGTGATCCCCCTGGCGTCGCTTAGAACTCTAAGTCGTCATGCATGTCACTGCTCACTGCTACCCTCATGGAGAGGAGAGGGAGAGGAGGAATACCAGGTATGTTGATGACGCCTGCAAGCGGAGAGGAGAGTCAGTCGAAGGCGCAGAGAAGGTGGGGAGGCGAGCGACGCACTATGCCGCATTGGAGAGAAGGCAAGAGGCGCGCCCGGCGAGAGAGGCGCAACATGAAGCGCGCCGCCGCGGCGGCGAGAAGGGCTGGAGAAAGGCGAGACGTCACGTGCGCGGGCGGCGTGGGAGCAGGGCGTGGGTGTGGAGGCGTGAATGCGCGGGCCCCGCGCCGCTTGGACCAGCGCGTGGGGGTCAAGGCGTCAGCAGCCAGCCTTGAATGCAGGCTGCTTCTGCTTCACGGCCACCATCCATCTATCCTGCGCCACGCCTCGTCCATCCACAGCATCTGCAGCATTCTCAGTGGCACCTCCCCATCCCACCGTCTAGCGCCGGACGAGCGCAGCAGGCCACGGCGCGCTCTTCGCTCCGCGCCCCCCCCCCCCCTTCACGACAGCGCGGCATCAGCGAACCCGAGCGGCGTCATGACGCCTCTCCTCCGTCTCTTGCGCTTCGGCCTCACCTTCGCGCTGCTCCCTCGTGTCGCGGCGCGGCAAGAACACAGCACTCCCCTCTCCGTCGTCGCCTCGCACAACGCGCATCCCTTGCCCGTGGCGCCGCAGCTGCATCCGCCGCAGTCCGACGCACACGAGCCGAGCCCCGACGTGTGGAGCGACATTGCCGCGACGCGCCTCGCGAGCGAGGTGCAGGGCGGCAGATGGAGGGACTTTGTCCCCGAAAGTGTGCTGCAGGTGGTACAGGGTGCCGAGCAGGAGGCACACGGACGGGAAAGTGGCAGCGGCGAGCTGAGACGCAACGATGGCGCCGCGTCGCCGCCGCAGCGGCAGCAGCAGCAGCAGCAGCAGCAGCGCTCGCAGCCGCAGCCGCAGTCGCAGTCGCAGCAACAGCACTACTATGCTCCTCAAGCACCGCCCTACTCCACCTCGCCGCGGCATGCGCAGTCCGACGCCTGTGCGCCTCAAGCGCGGTCCGACGCCCATCTCTACTCCTCCTCCTCCACGCTCGGCGAGTCTACCTTCGACAAGCTCCTCCGCCACGCCTACTGGCTGGCCCTCTCGTCCTACCGCAGCACGCGCTACCTGCTGCGCGTGCTTCTGCTCTCTCCGCTGCGCACTCTCTATCACATCGCGCGCTACAGTCTCGGACACACCTGGCACACCACCACGTGGGCCGGCGAACGCGCAGTGTGGCGTCCGCTGCGCACATTCGCCGCGCCCCTCGTCTTTCTCATTCAGGGCTTCACCTTTCTCTTCGTCGCGACGCCGTACTGGGCCGTGCAGGTCGTCGTGAGGGAGCTCTATCCCGTCTAGTAAGTCTACCTCGTCTCCCGCTCTCTTCTCTCTCTCTCCCTCGCGCGCGCTTGCGAGCGAAGCGGGCAGCCATGAGCGCACCCCGAGCTGACGCAAAGGGGGGAAACGGCAGCATCTTCCTAGGCGCCGCCTTGGCACTCGGCACATCCATCGGCCTAGGCGCCGCAGCCACGCTCTACATCGGCAGCTTCTTCTTCTCCGACTCGGCGCCGCTCGAGCAAGACCTTTCGTCGCGCGTCGACGAGGTGCGGCGCGACGTGCCGCTGCTGCAATCGCCGCAGCGCAGCGCGAGCGGCAAGAAGGGCAGAAAGAAGGGCGGCGGCTTGCTGGAGAGGAGCATTAGAGAGTTGGAGAGGGCGAGGGAGAGACAGAAGATGCAGAGCAGCGCAGGTGCGCGAGGAGGAGCGTGGGAGGAGGAAAGCGACGAGGACGACGGTTACTTTGCGCACTCGAGAGGCGCCAGTGGCTCCGCTGCGAGCGAGAGCGGCGGCGGCGGTGGGGGAGGGTATGGCACGATGCCCGTCTCGCCTTGGCAAGCCAGCCGCAGCGGCGCCTCTTCGGCGCACACCGTCGGCGCGGCATCGACAGCGTCCTCCGCACGAGCTCTGCCGACGGGCGCCACGAGCCGCGGCGGCTGGGGACACTCGTCTTCGCGAAGCGGCAGTGGTGGCGGCAGCACGAGCAGCAGTCCGGCCCTCAGTCCGGCGGCGACTAGAGGAGTGAGAGCATGAGCACCACCCCGATGTTCCGGCTCGTGTTGACCGGTGATGAGGCATCTGATGGGGGTGGGGGGGGACGCAAATGCATGGGTCTTGATCGCTGGTTCGCTTGCCTGAACGCCACTTCTCGCTCTTCCTTCACGTCCCCCTTCCCCCCCCCCCCTCCCCTACCCCGTCCACCATGGCTATTCCACAGAACGTCCTCCCTCAGAGCATCAAGGGATCTGGATCGTCTACGAATTCCCAAAGCCTAGATTGATGCACTCCTCTCTTTCCTTTCTTCTCCCTGTGCGCTTGATACTGCGGCGGGCGTGCGCGAGCACCTCCCGCTGTGACTCTTGCTGGGCGAGAGGAGAGAAAGGGGGGGAGAGAGACGTGCCCCCGTAACTGCGAGACATGCAGCGCGAGCCCCCTCGAGAGCTCACAAGAATCACGCTGATCGACGTCTGTTTGCGAACACTGGCTACATCCCCCCCCCCCCCTCTCTTCTTGTCAAAAGTGTGGACTCGATAAAGAGACGGTGTTGCCCAGCCTGGGGTTCTCAAGCCTCGCTGCGAGATGGGGGCGAGCGGGTCTGCGTTTCGCGCTGGCACACTCAGCTCGGGAGCCCTGGAGGCCGTACAAGAGGGAAGGACACAGCGTGCAGGGGCATGAGTGCATGGGGTCCGGCTGCCGATTTTGCGTTGCGAGTCATCGACCCCTTTCGAAGGCTTGGGCGCTCCTCGGGAAAGGGGAGAGGGGCGCGCGCTGCGGGTGCGAGTGGCCCGGATACAAGGGCGCTGTAGTGCGCGCTGGGGAGAGCAAGCCGGAGCTGTATGCGCCAATTCAAGAATCGCCGTGGTCTGATCCAAGTGCGCCTCGCCAGTTGTAGTGAGCACTTGTAGTCAGAGCAACACCTCCACTCGGGGCCAACAATTTGGCCGTCGAGTCGAGTGCGCCGCGCGCGCGCGAAGGCGCCTCCTTCTCTCTCCGCACGCGGCGCGCTTCTTCTTCCCCCCACCTCCATCCTCTCACTGTGTGCAGCAAATGCCGCCCACGCGCACCTCTGCTCTTGCCAAGCCAGGCAGCGGCAGCGGCAAGGCCGTGTCTGGCACATCGATGAGCGGCACGGCAGGCAGCTCGGGCTCGAGCTCGCGCTCAGGCGTGGCAGCAGCGGCAGCAGCAGCACCGGCGGCGGCGGGCAAGGGCAAGAGCAAGAAGCGCGATGCCATCGACGACATCTTCGCCCGGCCTGCTGCGCACGCCTCGACTTCTGCCTCAGCTGCCGCTGCAGCAGCAACGTCGGCTGAGGCGCCGCGCAAGAAGAAGAAGAAGCAGAAGCAGAGCAGCGCCGCCGCCTCCGATGGCGCCGCCGCAGCCGCCGGCGCTTCTTCTTCCTCTGCACCACCGCCTTCCTCCTCTGCCTCAGCTCCATCAAAGCCTTCCTCATCGCGCGCGCCAGTCGAGATCATCGATCCCTCGCTCCCTTCCCCTCTGAACGCCGCACTGCCGCCTCAAGTGCTGAGCGCTGACGCAGACGACGCGGCATTCGGCGACTCGCGAGGCACGCGCAAACGCACAGACGACAATCTGCGCATCTTTACCGAGGACGAGCTGGGCCTGACGAAGAATCTGACGGGCGGAGGTGAGTGTGTCTTTGAACTGCCCCGGGCTGCATCGAGAGAAGTAGAAGAGGAGCGCCATGGGAGAATAGGAAGAGGCTGATCGTGTCTTCGTGCTCTCTTCACTCTCTACTCTCTCCCTCTCTCGCACGCAGGTACGACGCTTTGTCCCTTCGATTGCGATTGCTGCTTCTGAACGGCGGCAGTCTGGGACCAAATTCGGGGCAGAGACGCAGCACGGAGCCGAAGAGGCAGAGGATTGGAGGCACGAGAGGAAGAAAGAGAGGGGCGGGCGGTGACGTAGAGGAATGAGAGGAATGACACAAGCCACTGCAAGTCCAGTCATGCCACGTGTGAGAAATGGTCAGGCTAGCGGGAGAGAGGGGGGGGAGGCAAAGCGGAGAAAGGAGAAGGAGTGGCAGGGTTTCGCTCAGTCAGTGGAGGGCTGACAGGCGCGGGGTGTCTGTTCCTCGCGTAAAGGCTCTCTGGGAGGCCCCCAGGCTCTTGAATGGCACAAAGGCTAGCAAAAGTCTCGTCTGCGTCGCTTTCCGACCCCTACCCCCCCACCCCTTTTGAAGGCTCGCCTTCGAACGTTGGTCTTGCCCACTCTCTCTCGCTGTCTG